CTTCATTTTACAGACCGGGAAGTGGAGACGCATAGGAGTTAAGAACTTGACTAAGATCTCACAGTAACTCATTTAGGATGAAAAGCCAAACTTTGTGTTCTGGACAGGATTCAGTGCAGCTGATCTCCCTGAAATACTGTTCACGCCTCATTAGATTCTGTGATGGCATCTAGCACCAGCTGAGCATCTGTAGTGTCTAATAAGGGCAGGGCCGGCCCAGAAGGATTTACTGGAAGAGGGTGTCTAATAAAATGAACAATTACATGTGGAGTGTAACTATGGCACTACAGACTGTTTGCTGGAAAATAGCTCTTTTATGGAGGTCCATCAACTGTCTGTATCTTCGCTGATTGAGGAGAAAGATTGTGTTACAGCCAATGATGAACAGAAGCAATTTACTTTCTTTTCAAGAGACTAGTTACAATGCGTATCCTCTCCAGCCTAAATTGGTCAGTGCTTTTTTATGCTGTAATAGCTTATCACTTATATCTCCAGTTAGCCTGTGATGGGAGTCACTTCGTTCTCCATTATGTTAGCGGTTCCCATGTTGACAATGTGAGAACAGTTCAACTCCAGAGCATGCAGGGTCCCCACTGTTGAGCTTTGGAGGTATTTGGTAAATCTTTCAAGTAGAAGGAAAATATTATTTGGTATCCTTTAAGGCAATAATGGACTTGTACCATTTTAAAGAGACTTCAAGTAATTTAGTAGCATAAATTTGTTATCTGAGATTATCTCTATTTATGGAGGTAAGAAATTGAAGAAAATCAGGGTGACCCACTTGAGTGAAAGGATTAAAATGAAAAAGGAATTTAAAATAGATACCTTTCCGTTGAGTCTGCATCCTGTAGTCTTAAGACCAGGACACTAAGATCCTGTTTTTGATTTGACAAAATAACAGAAAAGTAATCTTTTAGGGGAAGAACTCACAACCTTTAAAACCAGTTGTATTCTCAAACATACTATTTGCAGTAAAATTACTTAATGTAGAAGGAATGTGGTTAAGGATATTGTATAGTAACACACAATTTATAATGTGTGACATCCAAGAGGCCTTTCTTTTCTGAGACATATTTTTGAGAAACATGATAATTTTAGAAGTTGACTGTACGGTTCCTGACCCTATCCCTGCTCTGTCCTCCAGTGCCATAACATAAGGGACTTCGTTGATTTAAAGAAATGAAAAAGTAACCATTAAGATTTAAGTACATATAAATTTTGTGTATGTATAAAATTAGCCACATATGCACAAAGAAGATCTCACTGGGAACCTTTAGTTGGCAGACACATATCTCATCTCGTGGTGTTTTTCATTTGTTATTTTAGGCATGCTGATGGTGAAGAGGGTTTTTAGTCTTCCCTTTTAAATTTTTACATTTTGAGAATCAGTGTGTCTGACACAGACATGGTTTAGATGGTCTAAAGATTTAAGGTTTTAAATAGATGCAGGTGAGTAAGCCTTGGAACTTAAGGCAGCTGGATGGATGTTTTCACACTGTTGGATCCATTGTGTTTTTGAAGCCCTTTAGACATTACAACGCTGAGAACTTTCACTTATTAATTGTACATTAAATAGGATGAGTTTCTAGATGCTTAAAATATTATTGATCTCAATGTACTCCTTTTCACCATTTTTAATTGCTCTTTTCCGTGGATGATTTTTGGTAGACTTCTTTTAATATGATTAAAAGCAGAGTTATTTATAGGGGACTGCTAATTAATGTCTGCCAAACTCCGTTCTTTGCAGGTGGGGCAGGGTGGAGCAGGGTGGACTTCCCAGTCTTTAGAATCCCAACTGAAAAACTTGCAGAATTGGCACTATTCACAATAGCAAAGACTTGGAATCAACCCAAATGTCCATCAGTGACAGACTGGATTAAGAAAATGTGGCACACATACACCATGGAATACTATGCAGCCATAAAAAAGGATGAGTTTGTGTCCTTTGCAGGGACATGGATACAGCTGGAAACCATCATTCTTAGCAAACTATCGCAAGAACAGAAAACCAAACACCGCATGTTCTCACCAATAGGTGGGAACTGAACAATGAGATCACTTGGACTCGGGAAGGGGAACATCACACACCGGGGCCTATCATGGGGAGGGGGGAGGGGGGAGGGATTGCATTGGAAGTTATACCTGATGTAAATGACGAGTTGATGGGTGCTGATGAGTTGATGGGTGCAGCACACCAACATGGTACAAGTGTACATATGTAACAAACCTGCGTGTTATGCACATGTACCCTAGAACTTAAAGTATAATAATAATAATAATACATAAATAAATAAATAAAAAGAAAAACTTCCAGAACCAAGTCTAGAATTTTTCGATGGATGGTTTCTCAGCCACTCTCACGCACATTGTGCCTCCTCTTACTCGCTTCTTACTGTAACTGACACTTGTGATGACACATGAGCTCTTCCATAATGCTCATTCGGAATCCTCACTCTCTGTGCCAAGCTATGGAGAATATACTGGGTATCAGAGGACAGGGGAAGGGATTGAGACCTGGACACAAGAATTTTTTTATTTATTTACTGGAGACAGAGTCTCACTCTTTCCCCTAGGCTGGAGTACAGTGGCATGATCTCAGCTCACTGCAGCCTCCACCTCGTGGATTCCAGTCATTCTCATGCCTCAGCCTCCCGAGTAGCTGGGATTACAGGCGCCTGCCACCATGCCCGGCTAATTTTTATATTTTTACAAAATTACAAAATAACAGAAAAGTAGTGTTTTAGGGGAAGAACTCATGACAGGGGTTTCATCATGTTGGCTAGGCTGACACAAGAATTAAGACAGAGGGATATCGTTGTCACTTTCTGAATTGGACAAAGCAAGGTTTTGTATCTACTCTAACTGCATTTGCTTTGCTGGATTTAGTTTTTGCTTTTGCCACATACTTATTGTCTATTTCTTTGATACTCAGAAAGTGTGTGTTTTTGTCATTGTGGTTTCTTAATGAACGAATGATAGGGGATCAGGGGTGGGTTGTGTTCCTGAGGCCAACATGGCAGCCTTAGGTTGCTGGCAGCGCACCTAGCTAGCTACCACTTCCATGCAGCTGTGTTCTGTAAGCCCCATACTCACTTTCAAAGAATCATACATGAAGGCTAAGTCTTTCAGGTAAAGGAGTGTTGCAAAGTCAACAGAGTAAAGGCTTTTTAGAGTTTGGTTTTGAAAGTTAGAAAAATCCTGATTTCACCATGTACGAGCCCAGCAGGTTACTTCACACCTTTAAGCCTCATTTCTGCATTTGTAAAGTGGGAATATTAACGCACATATCCATAGCATTGTTGTGGTTAGAATGAACTCGTGTGTAATATAGCTTGCATGGTGTATGGACACATTGTAGATGTACTGTTGATGTTCCTTCTCCCTTCCTCCCATAGAGCATCTGTCCGCTTGAACACACCCACTTCTCTTGAGCTGTTAGTATACTTGTAGGCCACCTCCTGGAATTTTCCATGATGGTGTTCCCTTTCCACCCTGATTACCGAGGGGGGTCTTGGCAGTGGGTTTGCCTTTAGTCTCTATTTTTCAGTTACTAGCTTGAGATGACTCTCCTTTGGAGGAACATGATGCTTGGAACAGCTAAGGAGATATGTTATTTCCAGAGCTGAAGAGCAGACTTTTAATAAGTTCCTTCACTGGAAAAAGAGGGAGGAGCTGAGCCATGCCTTGGCTCTGAACCTGCAGTTTGGTATAGCTAGTACCACACAGTCCAGGGCTGGATGTATGTGGATTACTGTGTGTAGATGAGAAAACTGAACAGTTCTTCAAGTTGCTGGAGTAAGAAGTACAAATTAGATTATTAATGATTATGTGGAGGTACCAGCTGACAGTCTATTTGTTTTCATTATTAAAACAAGTGTGGTTTTGGATTATGTAGATTTCCCCACTTTTTACTTAGATAGCCAGGGGTATTCATGAAGGATATCCATAAAGACCATGCCAGTGATTGAGCCTCCAGAGCTGCCCCCTGCAAGCTAAATCACAGAAAAGAAAATTTAAGTGGTTGAGAATCAGAATGTGAGATGGATTGGAAGCCAAATTATAAGCTCATTTCAACTCCTGGCCTGCAGGCGCTGAAGTAACATTATTTGTTGTGGACGACGGAAAACAACTCAGATTCGGGTCCAAGTGATTATTCCACTTAGGCATCGCCGCCTTGCTGCCAACTGCAATTTGATTTAGATACAGATTGATTGGCCAGGCAGAGGCAGAAGTGGGTGGTGAGAGCCGCGCAGGCACCGCAGTAGAGGCACCGAGTTGGGGTCGAGAGCTGGCCCCGGGCAGTCGCGCAACCCTCTCCAACACTAAACCCGTGGTGAACTGGGGTGAGAGTGTGTGGGTACGAAATAGACTCTAAACCTCTATAGTGATAAACTTCACACTTCTGCTGACTTTGTTCCTGTCAATGAGTCAGAGAAAACCTTCGGGGAAGCGTTTGGAGGCCATCCCCATGGAGAAAGTGGGGACCAGCTGTCTGTAGACCTGAGACTTAGCAATTTTCCTTTGGCGCTTTCTGGGCCTGTTTTTCTTTTCTTTTTTCTTTCTTTCTTTCTTTCTTTTTTTTTCTTTTTTTTAATTCCTGCATGTGAAATGGGAGCAATTCTGTGTGTGTGTGTATACACACATTAATAGCAAATATATTTATATTTGTGTATATGAAGATATTTGTATTTGTATGTATGTATATAATAGCAAATATATGTAGAGATGTGTATTTGCTCTTACTTGAATTATAAAGACAGATGGGATAAAAATTCTGACAACTCAGGAAGGAGGACTGTGCCTTGACTAACTGAAGAAAACTTTATTGACATGAATTTAACCGGAAGGGCTTCGTCCCTTTCCAGAGTATTTTCCCCTTGCCCTTCATTCCAGAGTATTTTGCTCGCACCTCGTTCCCATTCTGCTTTTATCTAGTTGACACGTCGATTTCCTCCAATGATATTTCTAAAAGGTAGGGACGGCTGGGGCCCGTTGTCACGCCCTGCAAGTTGCGATCTGCAGACAGAGGCAGGGCTGGTCCGGGGTTTCATGCCCCCAGGGAGCAGGGCACCCGGTGGGACTCGCGCCCACCCTCTCCTCGGGTGTCGTGCTCCCTGGGAAGCGCCTGCCTGTCTACCCAGAGAGCGGGAGGCTCCAGGCGCGGCCGGGGCACCGTGGACAGATGCGCTCGGTCCTCACCAGCGGCGCTGCGCAGCAGACCCTGCGGTGCCTCGGGAAGGCGGGCGTTCCTCCCTGCTCCCACCCTTTCCCAGCGTGTGCACTCGATTCTTCCCTGGGGAAAAGAGGAGGATTTTCTATTTTTTAACATTTCATTTCACGAAACCATTTTTTTTTTTTTTTAAGTGGTGGCGCTGAACACACTCTTTGCAGACGGGGGCAGCACTTTCCCTCCTGACCCCAACCTGGAAACCCCAGCGTGACTTCAGCGCTGTCAGAGCATTGGAAGCAGAGCCGCGAGTTAGGAAGCGGCTCGCTGGCAGCTGGGCACGTTTCTTTCTTGCGAGGTTGGCTTTTTAAATTTGCTCTTTTTCACGTGAAAATGTTCAGCTTCATTGTTAGACGCCTTTAGACATGGTTATCGCTATTTAAAGCCTTGTTTTTTTTTTTTTTGACAAATAGTTTGCATTTTATTCATTGAAACAGAGAACAAACACCATCCTGCTTTTTGGGGTAATAGTTTCAGATGAATTGTATTTTATATACTAAGTGATTTAAAATTTTCCCATTTTGTAATATCACATACATTTAAGATATGGAAATTTACAAGGGTTGCCTTCTGTTTTTATTTTATTTTAGGTGGCTTCCTATTTCAAGGAGACATGCCAAGGTAATTTGGACCCAGAGGAGGAATGATGTAGCTACCTTCAAACCTTCCCTTCTTAAACACCCAGGTAAGTGAATGTTTTTTTCACTCAAGAAACAAACCTTTGCATGGTCTGCTTTGTGTTCAATATTCTGGATATGCTTGAAATGTATGAAATTTCATTTTACTTTCAATAGTTTATTTAGTAACAAGTTATTACTTCAAGATAATGATACTTCTTCCAAAATAATACAATTACTTGACTCCATTGAATCCTTTTCATTCACTTTTTAAAGGCTGTAACATCTACATCTACATCTAATTTTGCCAACTTTTTAAGGATTTATCTCTTCTCTGAGTGGCAAGTGACTTAAACCAATCATAGAGCTGGAAGAGCTACATCTTTTTGAAAAAGTTCACTTACGTAGGAATGTTTGTTCTCCCATTGGAAACTGGGACAGAATATTGAGCTTTTTAAAATAGTCACCCTATCATCAAACAGGTACTCTAATTTTGACTTTGCTGCAATATAATTATTTAAATACCATGGTTTTGGAAATTGATGAATGAGCTTTCTTTCTGACTTATGACGTCTTAGAGGGACACTGTCTAGAACTCTTTGAGAATAGTACCCTTATGGATTGTCAGCTTGGTTTTAGTCTGGGGACAAATGAAAATCTCTGGAATGTTGTTTTGGTTCTGTTCTTGTAACCAGTAATTTTGAGTTTCTATGCAATAAGATATTTTATTACATCTGACAAGACTAAACTTAAAAAATACAAAATAAAACAAGTACTGCAAAATATCATTAATGTTGACATGCGATGGTATGAAACAGGAAGCTGTATATATGCTTCCTAGCTTCAGCAAAGGAGGCTTTTTTTTTTCTAGAACTAATTCAATAGGCATAAAAATGAAAATAGGTAAGCTGCACTCGACATATACGTATCTTCAGAAAGCCCCCTTCACCTTTCTTCTTCATTTAACAAATGTCTATAGAGGTTTGCTTGATGGTTTTGCTTTTTTTTTTTTTAAACTTTTATCACACTATTAAGACGAAATAATGGAAGTCAAAGTAGTTAATGATTTGGTTTTGCATTAGTGAACTGCCCTGTACTTAAATGAGGGTGTGTGTGGAGTTTTATAAAGGACTGTATTTCAGTTACTAACAATAGAAAAAATAAAACACAACCTTGGCTGAAAGTTAATAATACAAACAAAAATAACTGAAGGAGAAGTCCTCCTAAATCCTTTTCTAAGTAGAAAGTCAAGTGGTTAAGAGGCTTAAGTAATTCAGGGTCAACTTGAAGGGCATATGGAACTGTCCTAATCTTGGGCCTTGTGATGTTTAATGTTTTTGAGATTTACTTGGATGATGTAAAAGAGAACGATGTCATTACAACACCATGTAGATCATAATTAGTAAGACTTTGCGATAATGCCAGAAAACCGTCTAAGTAAACTACAAAATAGAGAAGGAGGCCGGGTGCGGTGACTCACTCCTATAATCCCAGCACTTTGAGAGACCAAAACGGGCAGATCACGAGGTCAGGAGGTCGAGACCAGCCTGCAATATGGTGAAACCCCATCTCTAGTATAAATACAAAAATTAGCCAGGCATGGTGGTGCATACCTGTAATTCCAGCTACTAGGGAGGCTGAGGCAGAAAAATTGCTTGAACCGGGGAGGTGGAGGTTGCAGTGAGCCAAGATCACACCACTGCACTCCAGCCTAGGCAACAGCAAACTCTGTCTCAAAAATAAATAAATAAATAAATAAATAAATAAATAAATAAATAAATAAATAAATGAATGAATGAATAAATAAATAAATAAATGGTGAGCAGCAGTTGACCAAGAAGCAATCATGGTGGAACAAGCTCTATGAAGGACATGTTTAACATACAAGGCTATCCCTATTGCAGAACTTATGGCCTAGTGCTACTAAATGTTTGAATGGAATAATTAACTCCCCTTGCTGGGATCCTGTGATTGCCAAGCATGCCCTGGTGTGGGGTGGGTCTATCTGCCCAAAGAAAAAGGAAACAACACATTTGCTGTCTCCTCAATGTGCACATTGGTTTCTTTCAAGTCTGGTGAAGCTCTGCTGCTGAAGGAGGTTCAAGCCCTGAGTCTATAAAAGTCAGGAGCAGTTCCAGGAAAACAAGGGCTTCCCAGGCCAGGGCATCTCAGCTCCCTGGCAACACCCCTGGTCTCTATACTGGAATTGAACAGCATTGTGACTACCACACAATCCAGCCTATGCTGGACAGCCCTGCCCATCTGCTCCCCAAGTGTTCCCTGTCCTGCTACTCAGGTAGCTTTAACTTTAGAGCAGAAACATCCTATAACTTAGTGTTTGCCCAAGTAGACCTTAATCAGCTTTGGACTACTCTTTCTCTCTTTATTTCTTTTCTTTTCTCTTTTCTCTCTTTTTCTCTTTCTTCCTTCCCTCCTCCCCTCCTTCCTTCCTTGCTTCTCTCTCTTTCTTTCTTTCTTTCTTTCCTTCCTCTCCTTGGCCTCCCAAAGTGCCAGGATTACAGGTGTGAGCCACCACACCTGGCCTCTGGTGACCATTTTTACGGCTACCTCGTATTTTGTCACTGCTCACTGATATATTTCCTGCATCTCCCTACCATGAAATGCAACTTCATTTCCACATCCTTAATTCCTTTCCTCCTATCAAGGAAAAGATGTGCTGCTGGCTCTCTGTGCTCCTCCTCCCTTGACGCTAGCTCTCCTTGCTCCGCCTCCCCGACCTGTGCTCTTGGCTCCACCTGTTCCTGTCTCCCACCTCTGACCCTTTTCCTGCCCACTCCTCTCCAGCTGTCACTCCTTGAACCTGTGTTGGTCTCCACAGTCTTTCTACCTAGCATACTTTCTTCTCATCGCTGACCAGGGAGCTTCAAACCTCACCTCAGTGGTAATTTCTATGGTGAAATGTTCCTGTATAGACAACTCTTAGCCTGAGAAACAGTGCCTGGCTCTTATGAGGCACTAAACAAAAGAATGAATGAGCGAGTGAATGAAGGGGAAAGTGAATAAAGGGAGGTCTCCTATCTGAAGATGCCTCCACTTAGTCCTCTAGCATGACCCACATTCTACTTGTGGGCACGTGTCATTGCATTGTCATTATTGTTTGCACAGTGGTCTCCTGAACTCACCCCTGAGCAGGGCACAGAACTTTCCTTTCCCATGTTGGTGATCCAGCTCCTCCTGGAGCATGTGGTGGCTAAAAACTGTTTGTAGACACATAACCTTATAGGCCCTTTGCAGTTCTGCTAGTCTGTGAAGCATGACTGGCAAATGACATAAAACAGTAGCTGATGCAATCGTTTTTCAGAAGGAAGCAGATGTTATAAGTAAATAATAATATAAAACTATAATGTACTAACTGGGCAAGTTGGTCCTATTTGAAAAGCCAGAGAAAAGTAACAGTTTGGATTTTATAACGTGGCCTTCTTTTGGATGTGTTTTAGACTTCTAAAATATTTTCACTGAGTGGAATGAGGAGTGCCATAAAGTCTGTGAGCTTTTAATCACTGTCACCTTTCACTGCTTCGATTTTAATTTATATGCCTAGGCCACCATTGGTTTTCTGCAGACGAGACTACTCCAGGAGGTTCATACTGGCACAGGAGTAGGTATCCGGTGATGCATGCATTCCAGCAGGTTTTCGTTTCTTCTTGTGGATTAATCCTTAATCAGGTCTTGTTGCTTGTCTTTCCCATTCTGTTTTGAGCTCTGCGATTGGGATTCCTTTTTCATTGAGTTGGGTTCTACCTCCAAGCCTGAGCTTCACCTTCTCTCCTCCATGCCTTATTCTGCTGTCCCATATCTGCAGTGCCTTCCCCTTCCTCTTGACCCTCCAGACTCTTGCTCCTTGCCCAAGGCTCAGCTTGGGAGGCAGGCAAGGAGGGAACCTTTGCTGAGCCTCAGCCTGGGATGGGGCTGGGCCATTGAGCGTCTCTCTTTATTGTCTTATTCTCCCTATTGTTTATAATTATTTACTGGTTAGATGTTTGTCCTTCGGCCATCTGGCCCTCAGAGTAGGCCTGGTCTCTGCATTTTTAGCATCTAGCATATGTATATACCTACTTATATTCACAAACAAAGGTTTGAAGGAGTTGCTGGTGTCTGAAAACCCTCCTTAGAAGCTAGCAATGTTATTATCATCGTTTGCTGCACGCTTGATGGTGTACCAAACTTTCCCTTACTGCCTTTTAACATTTGTATTTTCTCTGCTGCCTTGGAGGCAAGGGATCAGACTCCAGCACTTTGCCTGCTTAGTTAAATTAATTGTTTAAAAATGAGTGAAGGCTGAGTGCTGTGGCTCACACCTGTAATCCAAACACTTTGGGAGGCGAGGTGGAAGGATCACTTGAGCTCAGGAGTTCAAGGCCAGCCTGGGGAACATAGTGAGAAGACCCCATCTCTACAAAAATAAATAAATAAATAAAATTAGCCAGGCATGGTGGCTCATGTCTGTAGTCCCAGCTACTTGGAGAGTGAAGGCGCAAGGACTGCTTGAGCCCAGGAGGCTGAGTCTGCAGTGAGTTATGATCACATCACTGCACTCTAGCTTGGGGGACACAGCGAGACCTCCTCTCCCCAAAAAAGTGAAAGAAGGTAGATAGAGGCAGCCCCAATCCAATATCCATTAACAGATGAATGGATATACGAAATGCAGTATATATATATCCATACAATGGACTATTTTTCAGCCTTAAAAAGGAGAGAAATTCTGACACATACTAAAATATGGATGCAGTTTGAGACATGATGCTTTATGAAATTAGCCAGTCACGAATATGACAAATACTGTGTGATTCCACTAATATGCTGTCCTTAGAGTGGTCACATTCATAGAGACAGAAAATAGAATGAGAGCTGTCAGGGGCTGTGGGAGGCAAGAATGGGCACTTGTTTAATGGGTACAGAGTTACAGTTACGCAAGATGAAAAAGATTTGAAGTTTGGTTGCATAACAGTGAATGAATTTAGCACTAGAAAACTGTATTTAATGCTACTGGACTGTATACTTAAAAATGGTTAAGATGGTAAATTTGGTTACATGAATTTTACAATTAAAAAGTCAAAGTACCTATTTTTATGATTATCCTTTAAAAGTAAAAATAATTGAAAGGAATTTGATTTTTTAGACTTCATGGTTTGAGCTTTATTTTTCCTTTGCTTAGATTTTTAAATCACTTTTAATTCCAAAATGTGGTATGTATGAAAAAATGTATTTACAGTGGTAAGATCTTTGGAACTTAATTTTAGACCTTGTTATCTTTTTTTTTTTTTGCAAGTTGTTGCCTATATTTGCAGTTAAAATATGATTCACAATTACTCACTGTCTCACTTGTTTTTCTTCAGCAAAGATAATAGGATCTTTTTGCTCCTCAGAAATACTTGTATGATACTTAAAAATTACTTTTATGATTAAGGGCAGAAATGTTTGTTCTGTCACAAGCAGAGGGCGTGACACACTCCAGGGTTTG